GTGTGTGTGTGTGTGTGTGTGTGTGTGTGTGTGTGTGTGTGTGTTTTGGGGGTTGTCAGGCTGCTAATAGACTGGATTGAAGATGTCCTGACTCCAGGAATAATAAAATCCAGCCAAGTCAAGGATGGATATCCAACTCCACCCACATCCAAGTCGGCCATTTTGATTAGACATAGACATAGACATAGACAGTACTTTATTGATCCCTTGGGAAGACTCCCTCAGGAAATTAAGGTTACCAGCAGCTTAAAGGGCAAAAAGTATTAAGTTATTAAGTTAAAATTAAATTCAGCAAAAAATATAAATAAAAAAAATACAAAAAATACAGATTAAGTACAGTGTATAGGTCACCAATAGGAAGATCCCAGGCAAGAAAATCCTAATTGCTTCATGGCAATATAGACGTTAATTAAAAAGTTGTGAAATGATACTTGTAAACAGTGAGTTAAACTCTATCCATAATATTATGTTAAAATAGTGGATGTTAAATAGGTTTGTACAATAAGTCCAAACAAGTTTAACCAAAAAATATTTATTTCTCACAATTATGAAGGGTTAGGGTCAGGGTTAGGGTCAGGGTTAGAGTTAGGGTCAGGGTTAGGTTAGGGTTAGGTTAGGGTCAGGGTTAGGGTTAAATTTAGGATCAGGGTTAGGTTTAGGTTAAGTTTAGGTTAGGTCGGGGTTAGGGTTAGGTTTAGGGTCAGGGTTACGGTTAGGTTTAGGCTCAGGGTTAGGGTTAGGGTCAGGGTTAGGTTAGGGTTAGGCTTAGGGTTAGATTTAGGGTCAGGGTTAGGGTTAGGTTTAGGGTCAGGGTTAGGTTTATAGTTAGGTTTAGGGTTAGGACATCATTTATCCTCCAATTTCATACAGACAGTAAAGTTTCTTTTCCACCTCAGAAAGCTGCTAGTCACATGACCTGATCAAAATGGCCGACTTGGATGTGGGAGGAGTCGGACATCAGACTGCAGCCATAAGGCTACTCGGTCTGTCTTTAATCCCATCTGTCAGTGGACAAGAGGGGGGAGGGGTTAGGGTTAGGGTTAGGGTTAGGGTTAGGCTAGGTAAGGGTTAGGGTTAGGGTTAGGGTTATAGATGAGAACCTGAGGGGATGGAGACAAACGGATGAGGTGGGATGTGGGAAGTTGAGTGAAAGCTGAGAGATAAAAGAGAAACGAGGGCAAACGGACGGGAAAATAACGACAAAACAAAGCGATACGGTGCGAAAACGAGAAGTAATTATAACGATAACCGGCAAAACACAGACTAAACCAAACAAAACGCAATTAATTACGAGCCGGGAAGTGGAAACGAATAGAAAAGATAAAGAGTAAAATCATTGGACGTGAGTTAAACAGCAGGAAAATGAATTAGCTTCAGGAAATAGGTTTCCAGAGCTCTAAAGAGGGAAAACAAAGATCTAATGGTGATTAGAGGCTGTTAAATGTGTGTAATTCTATATATAAATATATATATATATATATAACAGGAAAAGCTAACTTAGAGGCTCTAAAAAGGCCTAATAAGAACTTTAACTTTCCCCGTGGGGGGGGGGTTTCCCCAAACCTAACCCACCCAATCGGGTCCTATATATTTTTGACTTATTGAACGCTAATTTGATCAAAATAATTTCAGTTTTTTCCAAAAAAACCTGCATGTTAGGTTGGCTGGACTCCAAACTGCCCTTAGTGTGAGTGTGTGTGGTTGTTGGTCCTTGCGTGTCTCTGTGTGTCCCTGTGATGGACTGGGGACCGTCCAGGGGGACCCCGCCTCTCCCCATTGGCTACTGGGATAGGCTCCGCCCCCCCAAAACCCCATTAGAGAATAAGGAGTTACCATAATGGAAGATCCAGTTCGTTGTGGCTAATATGAAGCTAACTCCAGGTGATTTGCTAACAGGAAACGGATGCCCTTATAAGGAGCTCAAAGAAAAGCGAGGAGTGTATAAACCAAGACGACTATGGATTAAAAACCTCGAGCCAAATCCACATCTTAAAGTGGAAGTTCGCCAAAAGCGGTAGAAGTGGAGCAAAATCAGTAAATGTAATTAATTATCTTCGGCCTACACTAATCGATAGCATTAAGCTGGATATCGGATCCACTTTGAGCCGACTAAACAGAAAAAGGGTTTGCAAACAGGGATCATCTTCCCGTTGGTGGGAATAAAGTGGATATCAGATATAGGAAAGAACCTTTGGAGGGATCTTAACCCTTTAAAGCCTGATCCAACAAAAATAGGAAGAATATTGGATTTTTTTTAGTCTGAAGTCTTTCTTTGGCCCCTCAACAACATATGAAGAAAAAAAACAGAAATTATTTTGATCAAATTAGCGTGCAATAAGTCAAAAATGTATTTTGGTGTAGTCTTCTACTGGCTGTTATCAGGTATATCTGAATGTGTACAACAGGGGTTTGAGCAAAGCTTTTACCACTGAATGATCCAAAAAGTCTCAGATCCAAAAGACTTCAGAAACCGTATGAATCAAATATGATACATTTAGCATGATAGGGTTAAAAAGTTGATGTTATCATGGAAAAAGACGACTTCTGTAGGCCTTAGCTACTAAAGAAGGATTATCAGACTAGTTAACCCTTTAAAGCCCGATCCAAGAATAAAACCAAACAGAAAATTACTTTTTTTTGGTTTGAATTCCTTATTTGGCCTTTTAAGAAAATATGTAAAAAGAAAAAACAGAAATACATTTTTGATATCAATAATTTATTACTATGCGATAAGTCAAGATTATTTTTTGTGTAGTCTTCTGCCCCCTGTTATCAGGTGTATCTGATTGTGTACAATAGGATTTTGAGCAAAGTTTTTACCATTAAATTATGCAAAAGGAGTCAGACGCAAAACATTTCAGAAACTGTACGTATCAAATATGATACATTTGGCATTTTAGGGTTAAATAAGTACTATTAGCTCAAATTTCAGCTGCATTTTCTCTGTTTTTTCGGACGGTTTGAGGCCAGTTTTAGTGGCTTTTCCTTCCCCGCTGGTTTTTCCGCTGCCATTCAGATGATTTGACCTTCTCAAACTGACTGACCACATTTTGTTTAAGAGACTAGAAGCTGCTCTTTGTGTCAGGCGTGGTTAAAGAGGCTGTTTCCAGCTGAAAGCTCATTTTAAGATATAATGAAATAATAGGGGTTTGTGTTTTATGTGCTTTCTCAGGTAAAAGTGAAAAGTTATGCTCGGAAAATGCCCTAATAGACTTTAGAATACAGTAGATATTGTTGGTTCTTGTCCCTTTTCTGTTTGTATTTTTAAATTCCCTGAAAATCCAGCTGATAAAATCATGTTTAAACGGTCCTCCATCTTTATTAAAGCGACCAGACCTCCTCTTTGAGTCCCTGAATGAGTCGGGTAGCAGTTATTCCATTAACCAGCCATAGTTAAAGA